CTTTTAAAAAACTGAGTAAAATTTTCGCATTTGTTTTCGAAAGATGCTGATACTGTTTTCGAAAAATACTTATACTTAACTGACTCACGGGATGTTACTTACTTAACAACTAACTTCTTACTCTTTCCTTTTACTTATGCATGTACCCAAATTGATATAAAATTCAGCTGAAGAATATGGATAAGAGAAAATTAAACATGAATGCATACTAGTTCTAGGTTGGCAGTACGGAAGCGTAAATAAAATACAGTACAGTCTAAAATTATATTATTACATGCCAGCATAAATATAAACATAATTGAATGTTCAGCTGTCTTCGGACATCACCACACCACCGCTCGGCTCACGCTCCGGCTGGACTCCGTAACCTGAGAAAAACATAATGGGGTGAGTAAAATCACTATGCTCCGTAGAAACCAACACTGAATTGACACCCCGACTTCTAGTGTGTCGGGTGCCAGAACCATCATAATAGTCATCGAACGTCTTGTCATCGTCCCTGACAGAAGATTGTTCAGGTCTGCTAACACTCTGAATCAAAAATATAATTAGTAATTTTTTCAAATGTAATAATTATTGTAATAACTATTAAAATAGTAATTAATTAATTTTAGTTTTAATTTATAAATTTTATTATTATAATTTATAATTAATTATAATTTAAAATTATTATTATTATAATTTAAAATTATTATTATAATAATTATTATTATAATTTATAGTTATTATTATAATTTATAATTATTATTATTTTATAATTTATAACTATTTATTATAATTTATAATTATTATTATTATAATTAATAAAAAAATTATCTTGTTAGAGAAGAATGCTTTGTCGAGACCGTGGAATTTTTTCGACATTTTTTCGGAATTTTTTTGAAGCTCGAATGACTCGTTGAAAGTTGGAGAACTTAGAGAGAGAGAGATTTAGAGAGGGAGAGAGAAAAGAAGGGTTAAGGACAAAATAATAAAAGGGGCGGTGAGTTGTAATAGGAGCAGTGAATAGTAAATGAGTAAAAACATTGAAAAAAAAATCATAAAAATTTATATTTCGTTATTTATATATTAATGCAACAAACTTAAACAGTACATACTAATACCGTTGATTTGATGTCTATGCAGCCGCGGTGGTGGACGGCGGCTGTCGGTGTCGGACAAAACTAAGGCTGGTCATGAAAGTGTGGAAATTTTTGGAAAATCATGACGACTTTTTTTCTTGGAATATGCTTTTATTATTTATTTGTTGTTAATCGAAGTGATGCATTCTGATTAGATAAACCATTATGTTACCGACAATACAGCTATATTTGAAAGTATGACGACACATCTCTATCAATACACCATGGATTAAGGTACTTAAATTAAACGAGCTCTTATTCCATTTCTGGACATTGATGTAAATATCCTCTTATTTCATTTCGTGTCTTTATTGAAATAAGTTCAAGGGTGTAATAAGATGGAAAGAATGTTTAAAAAAATGGAAAATTAAGTTCAAGGTGTAATAAATAGGACATGAGATAAAATAAAAATCATCTATATCTATATATATATATATATATATATATATAGGGGTTGGTTCAAATAAAAACTAGTCCTGGTGTGAGAACCGTGAGAACCATATTTGATGCTATTTTTAATTGTGTATGTTGCTATTTTAATCTCACATGGTGCTATCATTTTTACAAATGTTAACATAAATTGTGTTGCTATTTTTAATAAAATACATCATGATTAAAAATAGCACTAAAATACTATCAATCATAGCACTACATACAATTAAAAATAACGGTTCTCACGGTTCTCACGCTAGGACTTAGTTCTCATTTGAACCAAATCCTATATATATATATATAATAAGAATAATCATTTACTAAAAATAGTAGTAAATTTTTTTAGAATCATTTAATGCTTATCCTTTTTTAGAAACTTTTTAAATATATGCATTAATTGTTTCTATACACATGTTTCAAATAAGATCAAATTAGATATGATAAACAATATTGTTTCCTTCAATAATTTTACTAATATATATCTGCAGTAACTTATTGATATCCATTATAATAAATTACAAGATTTTTCGTGGTTCATATTGATAATATTCAGTTTTGTTATGGAGCCATCGGGTGGCTCGACTTATGAAGTCATTCACACTTATTCACTAATAGTGTATTGACATGTGTCCTGCAATAAATACAATTTGGACATGTGTCAATACATTAAGTGGTGGATGACTCCATAAGAAAACCATCGGATGGCTCCATAGAATTTTTGTGATAATATTTTGGTCAAGATAAATGTTACAACATATTTTAAGTTCTAACCATAATATTAATTTATTTCTCACAAATATTCAGTTTTTATCCAAAAATATTTATAGAAAATCGTAGCATGTTAGGTGAGTTTTTTCTTCTAATTAATCAGGCAAAATCAAATTGGCGAATTAATCTTTACCAATATAAATTTTCTTAAGTTTTATTTCATTATATATAAAATATAAATTATCTTCAAATTAACATGATTTGCCATTTAATAGATAATGACCAGATACATTAAATAGTTTTACTAATGGTCAAAAATTAAAATTGAAATATATTAACAGTTCTTTAGAATTTATTTGTATATTGAAAACCATGATTATTTTTTTATCATTTTTTTATTTTGATTGTCTTTCTATAATGAAATTCTTGTAAAATATATTTTCATTGCAGAGTATGTTAAATAAACTATAAATTCTTATAATGCAGATTTGAAAAATCTTGATTATAGAAGGGACTGAGTTTTTGGCATTTTCTAAATCAAAGTTGTTTAATTAGTATACAATTTTAAATTCTAAAAAAATGTGTGTAACTTGAGTAAAATATTTATACAATATTTAATTTTAAATTTATTTACATACTTTAAATTGATTACACAAATAAATAATACTAACGTGCATTGAATGTTTCTCATTACATAAAATAAAAATAAAAAGAAGAGGTACAACTTCTATGATTTTTATAAATAATAATGACATTATATGACAACAAAGTTTATAATAAAATAATAATCAAGTATTATATGGTGAACAAGAATAAGTAAAACTGGTATTTTCTCTTATACCAAGGAACAAATATATATAATAAAATTAAATTTATATTAGTATAAATGTGATAGTGAGATAATATTAATTATTTTACAAGCTAGCCCCAACATGGTCATATTTAATATTCTAACCAAAGAAACAACGCTGATTAAAAATGGTGAAAACTATATTATAACCCTATCATTTTTTTAGACTTAATGTTGATTAAAAGAGGTGGAAAATAGATGATAACTCTATTGCTTTTTAGACTTAAACGTACAGAGCTTGTGAAAATAACTCATTTAATATCTCTGTTCCGTGCATCGCACGGGGTACGTACTAGTTATATTCTAATTTTAAGAGTATTTTTCATTCATTTTCTTACCTTTTTTTGGGAATCAACATCGCAAAAGTGATTGGTGATGAAAATAGGTCACATTTTGTTTAAATTTATTGACATTTTAGGTGTAAATATAAGAAAAGGACCACATTATAAGATTAGGATAATTCAATCAAATATAATAGAATTTCAAACAAAATTTAATATTAATATAAAAATTCCAACATAAACAAAAATATGATGTTCCATCAAAACTAACAAATTTAACGATTCTAACAGGAGTTTTTCCAACTAATAAATAAGTTATTAGTAGAAAAGGGATTTCAGCAAAAATTCCCAAAGCAATTAACAAAAAAATAAGAATAAAAAAAATATTGTAAGAATCATAGTTTTTTTTTCTTAGACCGGCCGAGCTGAGGTTCGGCGTCTTCTTCTTTCCCGTTCCGCCCTCCCTTGGTGTTTGGTTGGTGTGGACCACCGGTGGTGGCGGCTCTTGTCCGGGTCGATTTTGAGCCGAGGTCGCCGAATTGCGCCAAGAAGGAGTGGACGAGGGTCTACATGTGTTATTTTAGTGGTGTTTGGTTTGACCTTTGGTCAGGGTCTGGTTAGCCATCGTTTGAAGGGTGTTTCTAGATCGGGGTCTTGGGCAATTCTTTTTGCCTTTTGGGTGGGCGCCATCGATGGTTTGGAGTAGTGGGTTTTGGCGGGGCTGACATGCTGGAGATGAGGTTTTTATTCTAGTATTTTTAGTTGTTTTTTTTGTTGTTTTTGTGGCTTGTGTTTTTTCTGTGTCTTAGTGTGGGCGGTCTTTTTTAGGTTATGTTGTTATCCTCTTTTGGAGTGTGTCATTCTCCTTTTGGCAGTGTATTATCCTCTTGTTGGAAGTGTGTATTCTCCTTGTAGGAGCTTTTTATTTTTCTTTTGGTCTTCTAGTGTGTGTTGTGATGTCTAGGTCGCCCAATGTAGTCCTCTTATTCTAACTAGCTAGCTGATTGTAATTATGTGTTTTAGTTGGTCAATATGCCCAAAAAACAAATAAGAACAAGCAGTGCTACAGACGAAAATAAATCAACACAAATAAATGCGTAAAATAAATGTCGAGAAAGGAAAAGACACACCAAAGTGATAAAAAGTTCGGCCAATATTGTCTACGTCTCTCGAAACTACCTACTGCAATAACCCACCAATTATCATTTTCTTAATTAAGAATTTTTTTTTAAAATATGAGAATAGATAATAAGGTGCAGTTACGAAAAAGATCCTACATTTTTATTGTACACGTTCCATGTGAGACAAACATTAAGTAAAAAACTAGCAAACATATCAATTAAACCTAAAAATATTATAAAGGAAAAAGTTTTCTCAACTCCATGAGGCCTGCCTATACCACCTTAAATTAATTTGACTTTTGATATAGACTCAAAAGAGTTTCAATCTTGTCCAAGGCTATAAATGAAAATCCCCACTTGCCATAAAATAAACTCGCTCGGTCTTCATTGGAGACGATGATAGTACGAATAGAATAGTATGTGCATTATTATGGCACTTAATCTCGATAACACAACTTATTTGTACGTTATTTTATCATCGTCCACATACAGACCCACCAGTTTAAAGTTCACTCATGTTTCCTTGTGTTTCTTGAGATTCAAACCATCCTATATATTTTTTTCTTTGCTTTGCAGAATCGAATCGATCAAACAGAGGATTGACCAACAAACAACCGAATAAAGGAATAAAAGATGATCTTTTTATCCTTTTTCCATTCCTTTTGACTCTGTACCTTCTTTTTGTTCATCCTTTTGGAGATTAACCTTTAGAACTCTGACTTGTTAGCCCTGCTTTTCATACCATAATTCAAGTTTTTACATTCATTTTCTTACTGCTTCTTGGTGTGCCCGGTCAACGTTGCTAGCGTCTCGAAAAGAGTTTGATCTGACATTTTTTTTTGTGTGCTCAAACTTTGTAGGTTGATCAAAAGAAGATTCGGCCCAGCGAGTAAAGGCTAACCCTGTAAGAGCTCTACTATGTTTGGCCGTTTCTTGTTAATTTACCTTGTTACCTTTTCTTGTTTTGCTTTAATATTCATCTTGTGGTGGAAGTTTCTTTTTCTCTTTTTCTTTCATATATATATATATATATATATTTTTATATATATATTGAAGGTGATAGTGAGATATTCTTTGAGAATAATAGATATGAATAAAGTGGTCATGAGAATTGGATTCTTCAAATTTTCAATAACCTTTGCAAAAATCATTAAAAATGATAATTATTTGTCCTTTAGCTTTTTCCTCAAAAAAATCTTATACAGTAATCCCCAGATAAGAACTCCACACATTATGATCTGTCATATTTTCTCATTCAGTTCTTCACAACCTGTATATTTACACTAAACTATCTTTTAGGATTTTTGAAAAAATCTTTTTGTTTCCATCACTAATAATTTGTTTTCCAAATTTCACCCATAAGTCCTTAGGGAAAGCCTTTATACCAAAAAAAGCCCACAAAAGCTTCAGTTTCTACTTTGGATCTGGAAAAAAACTCTGTACCATTATGCATGTCTGGCCCCACGGCCACCGCCGATAATGTCGACCAAACTCTCTCAATATCCGGCCGAACCAAATCCCTCGACTCCACATTTTCCACCGACAAAAAAACCCGCCCGACCGGACCAAACCGCCACACGGGCAGCAGCACCAAAACCCTCCTGCCCGACGGCTCCTCCTACAGCGGGTCCCTATTCGGGCCCACGCCCGAAGGCCCGGGCGAGTACACGTGGGCCGACGGCTGCAAATACTCCGGCGAATTCTCCGGCGGATACCTCCACGGAAGCGGGACCCACTCCCAACCGAACGGCTCGGTTTACAAGGGCCGGTGGAGACTTAGCCTGAAGCACGGGCTCGGCTGCCAGAGCTTCCCGAACGGGGACCTTTTCGAAGGCACGTGGATTCGTGGCGTTCCGGAAGGCCCCGGAAAGTACGCGTGGGCCCAGGGGAACGTTTATGTCGGGAACATGAAAAACGGGAGGATTTTCGGAAAAGGGACCCTCAATTGGGCTAACGGGGACTCGTACGAGGGGAATTGGTTCGATGGGACGATGCATGGTTTTGGGGTCTACACGTGGGCCGACGGGAGTTGCTATGTCGGGATGTGGACTCGCGGGCTCAAGGATGGGAAGGGGACTTTTTACCCGAGAGGCACCCAGGTGCCAGCTGGACAACAGTCGTATCTCGACGCTTTACGGAAAAACGGGTTTTTGCCGGATTTTGTGAAACAGAATCGGGTTTCTCATATGGGGGAAGTTAGGGCAGAGAATGTGTCGATCGAGAGGCGGTGGAGTTTGGAGGCTTCGATCGAGAAGGTTTTGGGGCATGCTCGGTCGTTGAGTGTAACCGAGAGTTTTCGGGAAGGAGGGGATTTTAAGGAAGGAGTTTTTGATGAAAATCCGGTGATTTTGGAGAGGGAGTACATGCAGGGGGTTTTGATTAGCGAGTTAGTGTTGAGTGATCGGTTTTCGCCGAATTCGAGAAGGGCGAAAAGAAGGCAGAAGATGCTGGCGAAGGAGATTAAGAGGCCGGGCGAGCAGATTCTTAAGGGCCATAGGAGTTATGATCTGATGCTGAGTTTACAGCTCGGGATCAGGTGTGTGATATGTTTCGGTTTTTATTCGAGATTATTGGTTATAGGGAAGATTTTGTGAATGAGTGATACTTGAAAATAGGAAGAAAAATTGGCCATTAGCTTTCATGTTATTACTTTTTCTTGCCTTCTGTTTTATGTCCAGATATACTGTAGGGAAAATTACTCCTATACAGAGAAGAGAAGCCCGGGCAAGTGATTTCGGTTCACGGGCCAGCTTTTGGATGACCTTTCCGAAGGAGGGATCAAAGCTCACACCGCCACATCAATCGGAGGATTTTAAGTGGAAAGATTATTGTCCGATGGTTTTCAGGTTTGTAGTGTCGATGCATCGCATTATAGATTACCTCTAAACTTTTCGTGACTTAATATCAACTTCCTTCTCTTATGTTTGTTTTGGTTTGTATGTATAGGAATTTGAGGGAGATGTTTAAGATTGATGCTGCTGACTATATGATGTCAATATGTGGAAATGACGCACTAAGAGAACTATCGTCCCCCGGAAAAAGCGGGAGTGTCTTCTTCTTGTCTCAAGATGATCGTTTCATGATCAAAACACTGCGAAAATCGGAAGTTAAGGTTTAATTAATCTCTCTGCATCTTAAACTCTTGTAACTAGTTTTGTGTTTCTTGATTTTTGGAATTGATTCAACTGTTAATCTCAACTTTAAGGTTCTGTTACGGATGCTCCCCAACTATCATCATCACGTGCGCAGATACGAAAACACTCTTATAACGAAGTTTTTCGGTCTTCACAGGATTAAGCCCTCCAGTGGTCAGAAGGTAAAAAGGAAACAGTTCAACTCAGAAATTTTCACTACCATTTTCTGTCAACAAAACTTACAGGTTTTAGAAGGAATTTATTGTTGCATTTTGCAGTTCCGGTTCGTGGTAATGGGAAATATGTTCTGCACAGAGTTGAGGATTCACAGGAGATTCGACCTGAAAGGTTCTTCATTGGGACGGTCGGCCGATAAATTCAAAATCGATGAGAATACAATACTTAAAGATCTCGATTTGAACTACTGCTTTTACTTGGAACCTTCTTGGCGCGATGCCCTCCTACAGTAAGAAAACACTAACTTATCATTAATTAGATTGTCATCTAGTTTGTACTACACTAAGTAATTAGACAAATAATTTCTTCAGGCAGATTGAAATCGATAGCAAATTCTTAGAGTCGGAGAATATAATGGACTACAGCCTATTGCTAGGCGTCCATTATCGAGCACCCCAACATCTATGTTCTTTGATGTCTTATAGCCAGCGCATGACGGTCGATGGCCTGGGCATCCTTGCCGAAGAAGGTAAAATCACCAGCCACAAAATTTTAAGGCAAAAATGGTAACAGAAAAAAATGTTTAACTTTCTGCTGGTAAAGTAACTATTTGCTGATATACTCGAATGAAGCAGAGTCGTTAGAGGATGAAATATCTCCACAGGGACTTGTTTTGGTTCCTCGTGGCTCGGACAAGAGTAGTGTAGTCGTGGGCCCACATATTAGAGGCAGCCGATTGCGGACATCTTCCTCGACAGGGGACAAGGAAGTAGATCTCCTCCTTCCTGGTACAGCTAGGTATAATCTGTGTTTACGTGATAATAAAAGTTTTTTATTTTTTTTTATGTTCCTTTTTCTTTTTTTCTTGGGTTAGATTGTGTTAATTCGGGTTCGTTTAACAGGCTGCAAATCCAGCTTGGAGTGAATATGCCGGCAAGAGCAGAGCATATTCCGGGAGATAATGGTACGAAGATGTTTCACGAGGTGTATGATGTTGTTCTATATCTGGGCATTATCGACATTTTACAGGAGTACAACATGAGCAAAAAGATCGAACACACATACAAGTCCATGCAGTTCGATTCAGTCTCGATCTCGGCTGTGAATCCCACGTTCTACTCAGAACGGTTCTTGGAATTCATTAAGAAGGTTTTTCCTTCAAACTGAGCACGGGGGCTTGAGTGATATACTGTCCTTGTGGGAACTCTTTGCATAAGTTTTTTTTTTCGTAATTTTCCTCTTTCTTTTTTTTTTTATGAGTGATATATACTGTTCTTGCGGGAGCTCTTTGCATGAACTTTTTTCGTAATTTTCCCTGTTTCTTTTCATGCCAGTAGGTGGTAAATAAAGCTTTCACATCCCATTTCTTTTGTGCCATGTCTGAATCATACACGTATTCCAGCTTATGTTGCGCCAAAATACTAAGCAAGCACATTCAGTTTCAATCAGGGCGTGATTGTATATGAATTGCACAATAAATATTCTAATCAAAACTCAAATTTAACTCTACTTTAACTCAACTCCACTATCTCCAATATTATCAATATAATTAAATAATATCAACCAATCATTATTACACATCACATCAATTTTAATTCACTATTCATCCACTCACATAATTTTAACTAACCATCATTTCCAATCATTTTGTCCTACTTTTCCATCAAATCAACTTTAATTATTTTAATTTAAATATTATTTTAATATATCCACTAACAACTAACCATACTACTTTGTTTTAAACTCAACTATAGTTAAAAAATAACCAATTTTTTACTAGTTGAATTCATATCCAATCACCCCTTAAATTTTGTTGCATTGAGATCCCTACCTTATCCAACAGATAGGCAGAAAGCAAAGCAAAGCAAAGCTGGATGAGTAAAAAGAAAATACAGTGGATTGGACAATGATAAAAGTCATCGCAACCAAAGATGAATCAAAAGCTTGCTTCCAAAAGCAATACAGTGGATTGGACAATGATAAGAGTCGAAAACAATCATAACAGATCACAACTCACAAACTTCACTTTTGTAATATAATTACCACAACCAAGCTTTCGTTCAGCCAAAACACATTCTACAATTCAAATGTAAAACTAAAGTGTTTATAGTTGCAGAAAGCTGACCGCAATCTGACAATTCTCAGTCAATACACCAAACACCACAAAATCACTTTAATGTCTTCAGAACTCAACCCATGTTAGGTGGCGGAGGGGGTGGGTACTGCCCCTGCATTTGCTGACCCGGAAATCCTTGAGGTGGCGGCATGGGAGGCCTTCCCATCTGCATGCCGGGAGTAAAGTTCACTGCCATAGGACCACCGCCAGTTGGCGGAGGTGGTGGAGCGGATAAATTCCCACCAGGTGGCATAGGCCTAGGCCCATTGGCCATAGGAGGAGGAGGAGGAAGAGGCATTGATGATGGTGGCCGAGGAGGGTTTCCGGCAGGTGGCCCGGGAGGCGGAGGTCCTTGTGGCGGTGGAGGTGGTGGAAGGCCTTGTGGCGGCGGTGGCAAAGGCCCTGGAGCTACTGTGCCGTTGGCTGCAGGCGGCGGAGGTTTATTCGCCTCCGGTGGCTTTGTCTTGAAATACAATTGCAACTGCACGTTCAGGCATTGCACGACATTAATATGTTGATTTTATTTATTTATTTATATTTAATATCACAAACATTTTTTTCTAGTGAAGGGAAAGGAGTTTAGATGGTTACGGTGAACATCTTTGAGTCGGGGTCCCAGTGGGTGAAGAATTTGGGGGTTGATTTATCGATCTCTGTGCTTGGGACCTAAATAATCATAAGCAAACAGATATGGGCGTGATCAAAACATAAATGTGGTGTATTTATAATTTCATGTAACTGGGACTGGATTATTTACCTTGAATGCTATGTTTTCATAAGGTTCGGCAGCAAATATAAGATACTGATATTTTTTGTCAAATGGTTCGACTTTCTGCGCGTGAAGAAGCAAGAGTAAATAAATCTATTGGCAATGGTATTGTTCAAAATATGTACATGAAAAGAAAGGTGCCAGAAGAATGGGAAATTTATGTATAAGGTGATCTGCAATGAGGTAAAAATACCTGCTCAAAAGATGACATAAACCGATGCCTTGGCTTTGTATTATCTTCAATCTCGGGATACTCAATCTGCAAAATTACCAACGCATTATATTACTCAGGAAAATTACATAGAAATTCCAATCTTTAAGAGAATAATACTGAAATAAATTCCAGAAAGCCATAAAAGCAAAGGTTAAGGGGCCTTGAATTTATTCAACCCGAGAGATGCAACGAATGTAAAAAGTACAATCTTATTTACAGAATCACCTTTCATCAACGCACATCAGTCACCAAACAAAGTAATGCATATACACCAGAACACAACATATATGACAGCATAAAAATCGATATCCCAAGAAAATTACTAAACAGCTGTGCAAGGGAAGGGACAACATATCTGACATTAATCCATCTATCACATTATGTACTGTACCGGTGTTTAAATAATCAACAACAAGCCGAGCGAACAGGTTTATGACCTATCAAAGTTTGGAGATATGTAAACCAGGTATCAAAACAGAAAATGCACAACTTGTAGGCATTTCTTTATTTCAACAAGATTAAGCCTTGAATGATGTTTACTCATACACAACAAGATGCGAGGAAGGCTGAATAAATACCTGGAAAAGCAAGGATCTCTGTTTTGTCTCCGGGTCAAACTGCTTAGTCACCCGATACCCAGGCCTGCCAATTTTAACTGCCAAAATGAAAAAGAAACAGTTCACAAATAGAAGTTTAAAAAAGAAAAATCAAATATTCAGCTCCCATTTCCATTTAAAATTTTGAAGAATCAATGTACAAGGTAGAACTGCCTGCTGAATTACATTTTTTCTCGCATGAGCAAACCAACTAGTATAGTACATGGCAACTTTTATCAGTAAATCAACCTAAATCAAGCTGCAATTCAACTAAAAGACTGCAAATTGGATAAAATTAGCTACCAATTTTCTTGAGGGTGACGTTCCGCTTATGAGGCTGCGGCTGAGCAGGAGCTTCTTTGGCTTCACGAGCTGCTCGCTTAGCCAAGTTAGTCTGGTGACGCTTGCCCTGCGTATGCGCCAGGTAATTCCCCTCATTGTTGTGCAATGTCAAACAAAGCTTGCATTCATAACTGAAAGGAGAAACAAATATCAGATATATAGGAAAAAAATTTAATCAATTCCGCTAGGTACTTGTTTTCTAGGGTTTTACCTCCCGAGATGGTTGCGCATAAAATATGGATCTTTTGCCAAATCAATAGTCTCGAGAGCGAGACGGCGGAGACGCTCGCGGCGGTCGATGGCCTCATTCTGGGCGGAGGCGGCGCCGCCGCTCCCCGGCTTCGAACCCCACTCTCTGTCCATAGCTGTTGCTCCGAGTATACTCAGATCGAGGATGAAGACTGTTTCAGAGGGACATAGCATAAGTGGGCGGTAAATAAATAAGCCGACACTGAGTCCACTAACTGGGCCTATTGAAGAAATGTGATATAGTCTCGGGAAGATTTACGATTTTGGGCCACAAGCCCAAAGAAGCCCGAGACTTTTCTTTCTTTGGAGCCGGTGTAGGCAAAATCGAGCAATGGAAATTATCGAATCAACTGTGCAATTAATCAGAATTTATATTTTTCTGGGACTAACCTCATTCTTTTTTGCTTGTTCATTTTTTTTTTTTTTTCTTGCAGAGTGCTAGGCGCCATCATAGTAGTAGGAGTAACTTGTGTTGGAACAATTTTTTTCCTTTTTTCCTTATCCTTAACCTTTTTAATTTCATGTTTTTTAATATTATTGTTAGTTTTGAATAATTAATTATTATTATTATCGATTTAAACTAATTGTTTAGATAATGCATAACACCATTCTTTTAATAGTAACTAGTGTGTAGTCCGTGCGATGCACGGGAAATAATATTAAAATAATAATTATAAATATGTCTCGAGTTTGAGTCATTAAATGGAGGAAGTGAGAACTATTGATCTTCTTTAAAAAAAGAAAAAAAAATAATTATAAATTAAAAATAAGGGTAAACAATATAAATTATAATCTATTATTATATAATACGGCTAAGATAAATTATTCAAAAAACTCAAAAAAAATATATTTCATTTTCCTGCTTTTTTATGTCATTTTTCCACTTCTGTTTTTCATTTTTTACCATTTCCGAAATTTTATTTTGAATTTTATCACATGTCCTGGGCTAATAGATTTGGTAACTAATTGATTGCAATTTCCATGCGTGTAGGGAGGAGTTTGATCAGATTGGTTAAGATTTGGTAAACAATATCATCCGATTTTAATTCCATTTGAATTTTTTTGAAATTTGAAAATAAAATCTTGCTTATTTATCTAATAAAAAATCCTGTTTAATTTGATAATTTTTTATTCTTTCCCATCCACCCCATAAACCCTAACCCCCACCGCGTCGCCCCCTTGCCCTCCTCCCGTGGCGTGCCACCGGTGGACTCTCCACCATCAGCTGTATGGCTAGCGACAGGAGTGGCTCCCACGTGCCCCCTTACCCCGCCACGTTGCGTCGAGAAGTAGTCGACGACTTTCGACACAAGCTCGATGGCTCCAACGGTCTACGCGAGAGTATTCGAGGAGTCGACTTGGAGATTAAGTCCGTCACGAGGATTAGCTTGTGGTCTGCTTATTCACCGGTCTCGCCCTGTAACTTTTGATTTTCTCTGGTTTTTTAGCTTAATTTTGCTCTGCTTTTCTGCCTTTTTTTAGAACCGCATCTTTACATTTATGTAATGCCTGATTTTTCTCCTTCCTTTAAAAGATGTTGATGGCAGGAGAGGGCTGGTCGCGAATGAAGCAAGCTAGCCGACTTCTTCTCGACGGTTGCAAGGCAGTGTTGGCTGGTTTTCATGGTTGCTGGATGCTTGCGGCCGGGCTGGTGGTTTAGAGGGCTTGACCGAAATTCTGGTGCAAGGCTGCTGAAGGCGGATGGACTCGGCAGCATCGTGCTGGCCCTTTCATATTGAAGGTCACCTGAATAGACATAGCCTGGAGAGTTGAATGGTACCACATTAAGAAACATGATTTGTTTATGAAACTCTTATACTCATAAAATTTTAACTTATTTCGGTGAAAAGATATGAAAAGTTGAGAGAAGCAAATGACTCTACCTATTGGTTTGTATTGTCTCATCCCCTATTTAGAACATCGTTAAAAAGGCGTTCCTCTTCTACTCTTATAATTGTGAATTTAGATAGTCTGATAACTTTCTGTAAAGTATGTTGTTATATGGAGGAAGTACTTGAGGTTTCTATCCATCAAGCAAAGAAATTCTATTTTTCACTCAGGTAAATGAATCGATATTAATCACCTGGCACTTTAAAGTAACACGATCTTTTTAAATAAGCTCTATCCCCTTTTTTGTCAGGCGGTCCATGGAATGTAAAGCCTAATTGGATCCAAGACCAAACACTTTTGGATGCTTTGAGGGATAGTCGAACTAGGTATACAGTGTTTAAAGTTCTTATTATTATTGAGATATTCTTTTTCAATGTTTAATAGTGAAAAAATTATGTAAATTATTTTCAAAGTTTCTGCGAACTGGTTTATCACCGGTCACTTTTTAAGTATCCTTTAGTTTATGCAAATATGAAAGAATTATCGGCTACTGTCTTTATGTCAAACCGTGTGCGGCAGGTGAATTTGAACACAATTAAATAATCTTTTTATGTTTTTTTTTACAGGAAATTGAGTGTTGAAATTTTGTTTGACAGATTGTGAGTTCATTTCTTGAGCAAGCTGAATGGAATACAAAATGGAGCTTTTCAGACTTAGTCGGACATGGCTGAACGCCGTCCAAGTTGCTGGCCGAACTGGACATCGGGCCAAGGCACAACGTCGTGCTGGTCAGACACCGGCGGGAGGACTGGAGCGTGGTATGCCATGGTGCTTCACGGACAAATCATGATCCATGAAATGTCCATTATTTTTTCGAATTTTTTTTTTTTGGCAACCAGAACGATAGTGCGTGAAGAAGACGGTCCAAGTTTTCTGGCAGAAATTTTTTAGTGAGAGAAAGCAGTTGTAGTTCTGGGACATTTTGTTCTACTCTTCAAGTTGGAAGAGAGAGACAATTTCAATATGGACTTAGTTTCCTTATCCGTTTTGAATTGTAATCTATTAATATATAATAAGAATAAAGATTTACTTAAAAAAAATAAGTATCAACTTATAAGAATCTTGCCCAAAAATTCGTTTGTTACTACTAATGGAACTTTTTTTATGAAATTTTTTGAATCTCCCACATCATTTTATTTCGGTCAAATGTTATACATTTGAATATTTGTATATTTTTAAGTTTGGAAAATCAATTTGTGTCCATGTTTCTCTTACCAATTTGTGTTTATCTCAATTTCTCATCTTACCAATCATTTTTTTAAAGGAAAATCCACTCGACAACTTAATTGAACAAAATTTGTTTAACAATCGTCATTTAAGTTCACGACTTTTAAAAGTTTTTTTTTTAAAAAAAAAAAAAATANTCAATCAACGAGTTAAATGGACAAAATTTGTTTAACAATATTTATCTCAATTTTTTTATCTTACAAATCAACTTTTATTTTATGAATTATTTATATTATTTGTTGTACAAAGACTACATTCACGACAATAAATTGAACGAATCTCACATTTTTTTTTTTTTCCCGAAACGATAGAGGAACTATTATAAATCAAAACGCACAAAGTGCGAATAAAAGTACAAAGCTCCCAATGGGAGAATAAAAATGGGAGGACAAGTCTGACGACCGCCTAGAAACCCGAAACTAGCAACGCTAGAAACCGAAAGACAAGACGCACAATACAAAACGACAAACACTAAGAAAAACTACAAGGCTCCCAACAGGAAAATAGAGACGAAAGCAGATCCCAACAGGATAATAAGTTTGCTCCCGCTCAGATACAGAGGCCAACTGCCTAGACCAAAAACACAAACACAACGATCACAAAGCCTAAAAAACTAACTAAACCACTAAACGACAAAACAAAACAATTAACGAAACTAAACGAGCCCTTCCAAAGTGTCGACACCTAACCGAACCAGCGGAAACAAGGCGACTGTGAGTCCCGCAGCCAGACGTATCGACCCCGAAACTGCCCAAACCACTCGGTTGCCTAATGGTGTCGAAACCCTCACATTTCTTGATTAACCAACACGCTATTTTTTTTAAAATATAAATTTCAAATAGATGAAATTTCTAATCATCAAAATATTATTCACAGCTAATTGATTGCAATAATCACATTAATGTCACGTATCTTTTTTTAAATATAGGAATTTCACATTTAAGAAAATTCGTATTACCTGTACAATAAATAAAATAAAAATGTTTAAAAAACAAAACAGATTATATCAGTTAAAATCATGACGGTGCATATAATTAACTTTATTATCTATCACGCGTTAGATATTATTGATTTGGTTGTGGAGACACATTATATCTAAATAAATAAATATATGATTTTTGTATAGTTTGTATATTTTTTCTTGCAACGTGATGTTAAATATAAATAACTATATTTAAGATGAAATTTTAAAACAGATTTTTAAGTAACAAGTCCGTCCGTGCATCGCACGGGATGCACACTAGTTATAGATTAAAGATGTGCGGTTAAACTTAGAGAACATAAATTTTGTATTTTTAAAATATTAAAAACATATAAAATATTATATTAATAATTGTAAAAGTATCAAAATTTTCTATATTTTTTTTTAAAGATGTGAAGTTACCTACAACTTTTATAAACTACTATATAAAGAAAATATTAAAACATTTAAATGTAATATGTGTACGTACGACTTTTGAAACTATTTTGTAAAGAAAACATGTCTAAAAATATTTAAACTTAACATGTGTTATGTATATGTGTGTGTGTATATATATGTGTGTGTGTGTATATAGATATAATATGTAAAAAAAAAATGTCTAAGTAATTTGTTTAAAGTATCTAAAATATTATACGTCTAAATAAAGACATTATCTCACGCTAAAATTGTTTTATAGAAGATTTAGAAGATACCGGAATTATAAAGTTATTTTCATTGAAAAATTGACTACACAATATTTCAAAAATTATTATCATTTTTTTAAGTTGTTACCATAAAAAAATAATTTTACGCTTAACAATTGATCAATTTTACAAATACAAATTGAAATTAATACAAAAGCTACCAATTTTACAAATACAAATCGAGATTAATGCACATCAAAAATATTAGGGAAAATTTTTTTTAACCTCCCAAAGTATGCCCTTTTTTTGACTTTTCGATATAAACTTTTTTTTTTGACAATTTGCCTCTCAATGTAATCGAAACTGACAGTTTGCCTCCTCGATTGAAAACCCTAATATGGTACAAAAGAGTTTTTAACTCAATTAATGATGAATTTTAAATTAATCTTTAAAATTGATTTAGGACATTTAAAGCCCATGGCGAGACGAACAAAATGAAGTATGATTTGTCGATTTCTGAAAATTGATACTTCTAAAATCGATCC